TGAAGACACTAGTACTGAGTGCTTCACTTCCAGCATCATTGGATAATATACACTCATATGTACCACCATGAGAAGCATTGACTGAAGTAAGCTCAAGATCAGAGCTCATACCAACACGTGAAACAGTTCTCTGCTCTACCAATTCTACAGCAAAAACAATATTTTGAAAGATATCAATATTTCAAAACTTACGAGTGATGTTAGCATCTTGTCCAAAAGGGCAGCAAACACTCTGTGTTGCATTATGATACCAATCATACATAATATTACTAGGAGGACCAGCAGTTGTAGCACAATTTAGTGTGATATCATCTCCTCTGTCCAATGTTATATTATTGACAGGACTAATGGCTGAGAATCCCTCAGGTGACGCTAGTGAGAAATGAAGTAAATTATAATTGTAGGATTTTTAATAAATAAATGCATACTTGTAATTTCTGAAGTAGCACTACTACTTCCAGCAAGATTTGATACTTGACAAGTATATGCACCAAAATCTGCTCCAATTACATCAGTAATAGTAAGTGTACTGGAAGAAGTTGATTCTATTATGAATCGTCCTCCATCACTGATTTGACCGATATTAGCATGTGCCCAAGTAAAAATATTGTTTGGTCCTCCTCCAGCAGAACATGTTAAGGTTACATTGTCACCACCACTGACTGTGGCACTAAAGGGTGAGACTGAGACAATGCCTGCAGGACTCACTGTAAGAATAAAAGAGGAAATGCAGTTCAATGAGAAATAGAGTAATACTAATACTTGTATATTGCTTAAATCTTACCAGAAACAATTGCTGGATTAGAAGCAGTCTCATTGATGATATTAGATACATTAGTATATGCAATACAACGATAGTATCCATTAGTAGAATAAACAATGGTACCCAAATCATAATTAGGAGCCTTCACTACCAGCTATTTCAGTATATGGTCCTTCATTAGTGCTGCTTCTCTCCCAGCGATATTCAGGGTCAGGAAAAGACTCAGCCATACATGACAACATATTCACGGAGGAACCAGCAGTAGTATTAACACTCATTGGATGAGTGACAATAGTTGGAGTAATGTAGAGAGTAGCAGTTTCAATATCAAACCCAGCCTCATTGACAACAACACAATGATAAGTACCACCAACTGATGAATCAATGTTTCTAAGAGTAAGGACTGGACCAGTACCAACTAATGTCAGGTTAGTCAAATTTTCTACACCTGAAAACAAAAAA